TCAAAAAATAATTATTTTCAGACGTCTATTAACCAGTTTTAAAAACATGTTTTAATTTTCCTCTCCTAGATAGTCGTTTGACCTCATTCCAGAAAAAAACACTGGAAGCTGCTCAAGGTACCTACACAACTGGGGAAAATAAATAACAAGCTATATTTGTTATCGTATTGCGTCATATTATCGTCGCTCAATTATTTGAAAAGGGCTAGCTACGAAATTAGTGATCTTGTATTTACTTAATACACATTTTAGGCACCACTTCTATTATAGGACTTATAACCGACAGTACAATCTGGCAGTTTCCAACTAGACAATTTTAATACATGACATGGGCCATATATTAAAATGTTAATAATGATACTATTTTTAATAATTTTCGGTGAAATCGGAACATATTTCTGAAACAACAGTTAGAAAAGAAAAAATCTAATAATTACTCTATCAATTATCAAATCCAGAAGGAAAGTATGATAAGGTACATAATATTGTAATATTCATTGTAATGAAAAGTCAAAATGATTATTTTTGACTTAGGAAACTAACCAATTAAGATCTTTGAGTCTATACAACATAATATGTTAGATATTATCAAGTCGTACAAGTTAACTGTGTAAGATATTGAATTTCCTGTAATACAGCAGTATAAAACAAGATGTTGCATGGCATTTGTATCTAAGGAAGTGTCGGCTCCGGGAATAGCAGTGGGGTCAACGTTCCCGGCGGAGCGTCGTTCACTCACCTGTCTTTTGGCAGCTGGCACAGTGTGTGTGAAAGCTGATACCGTTTCGTTAATGAGTTAAAATCACTCTGTGCATCATGCTTCATCTACATCAAGATATCATCAAAGATTCTAACTACCTACTACTGATCAAAAGAAAAGTGGTCATATCATCATTTTTGTAGGTACCTAAAATAGAGAATTTAGAAGTGTCTGAGTTCCTAAACTGTGTAAGATGTTAAATGAAAAATAGTATATATTCAAAACTTTATTGACAACCAAACAGTAATAATATTAATATAAAAAATGTAAGCAGCCATTCAAATTATATTACAGTCTTCAAACTCATTATAATTTATGTACAGTAAGTTTTTGAAAACAATATAATCTGAATTATTAGACTCTAAAATAGTTTTGGTAATTATAAAAAAAACATTTTAAGTACTTTGTTGTAGAAATGTAGTGTATTGTTTGTTTATATGTTTTGCATTATACAAAAATAAGTAGGTACTGTACCTACCTACAAGTTTAAATAACTATTTAATCTCCAAACAATTTCTTGCCTAATTCCATTAACCTGTGGTTTCTGCACATTTTTAGTGCTCCAGCCTTCTTCAACACTGGGATAACACTTTCATTGGAATCCACCAGCCTGCACAGGAAATCTTCAAAAGCTGACTTCACATTAGGTTGCAGAGTACCAACTTTAACCTTAGTCAGCATCTCGGCAATACCCTGGGCCCATCCACTCTCTATGGCAAACTCTGATATCCATGGCACCATTGTTAGCACTCCACTCATAGTTTGCATGCCCAAGAACCACAGATCAGCTATTTCATTCCAGTGTTCTTTGTAACTCATTGATACTACAAGTGCACTGGGGTCGTTTGACTCATCAATGTTGTAAGCATCCCACAAGAATCTGATTGTTGACTGAATATATCTGCATATAGAGAAGTCATTTTTCTTTACTTTGCTGGCTTGTTGTTTTAGCAATAGTAAGCCCAGCACTGCCAGATGCCCATGGAGAACTAAGTTTTCAGGTATGTCCTTGAGTTCTGGCAAGTCATTAAAGATGAACTTGAGTAGTGTGTTGAACAACATACTAGTTTCAACTACTTTTGGTGCCAGTACTGTAAGGTTCATGAAGATATTGCATAGACTGACCATGGCTGCTCTAGAGTCCTTCATATCTTCTAATACTTGTGGATCCAGCTCACGAGGAGGTTCGTTTAAGACTTTTAATCTTTCAGATCTAGGTACTGGAGGCTTTTTGTAGTGCACAATAGACCAGTGGAAGCACATAGCTTCATATAAGATATCTTCTTGCTTCAAATTCAACACGATTGTTCTTGCTTTGTCTTCAACTACCAAATGGCATAAAGCTGGCAACATTAAGCGGAGAAGATCAATCTGGCCCATCAGACTTACATCAGTATCCATGGCCTCACCTTCAGACTTGTTCTTTTCAGCCATCTTTCTGGCTCTGTATGCATGGAACGAGTCATTTGCAAGGGAGAACATAAATGGCAGCAGGGTGTATATTTGTTCTCTCATGGCTGTTGTTTCTTGGGCAATCCAAGCAACTAATACTCTGACCATAGCACAAACATAAACTTTTTCAGCATCAGGGAGTTTATCTCTGTTCTTATCATTGAACACTTTGGTCAACATAGACACAATAGCGTTGAAAGCACCTTTGAGGCCCGTGTACACTGATTGCTTCTCTTTTTGTTCCAAATCCAGTTGGTCAGTAGCCATATAGTTGATAGATAATTCTAATACAATAAAGCAGGCTGTGACCAATTCAGCATTGGCATATGCCTGTTTGAAACTCCTGTCTTCAAGTTGCATTCTCACTTCTATGGCACAAAGTTGTTGAAGCAGTAGGAAAAACTTCTTCGGATTCTCCTCATCATTCAAGGTCCACTCAATACCAAGTAGGTCAACAATGTTTGCAGCAAGTTTAAGAGCAGGATCTCTTTGGTTTTTACCTATTTTGCTGGTAAGAATATCGTGCAGGGCTTTGTAAATACTTTGAGGCCATGTTTCATCTGCAGAGCCAGGTATGACAGTTGCTTTATTGCAGCTGTACAAAAGCGCACTCAGGATAGTGGCTAATTCAAACTTTCTCTCCGACTGATCAGTGGCAAAGTCAAGGGCGATTTTATTTACCAAAGCATGGAATGGTTTAGGATCATCACCCCAAGCAGCTGGCCCATACCTGCTGACTAGCTTGACAAGGATATTAAGGGCCTCATCTGTCTGGAAACTTTGATGGGAGTAAATTTCTGACATTTTAGTAATTGCACCAACCTCAATAAGAGCCTTCTGGCCAGCCTCTTGCTCGGCAATACACTGCAGGCATGTGTATGCTTCACTGACAATGATAAGGTCATCATCATAGTCTTCACTTTCTGATTTTTGCACTATTTCGAGGAACACAGGTATATTGGCTAGCATTTCCGGGTGGGTTGCAAGTTCCGGATCATTGCAGAAAGTGGTAAGTATCGACAGGGCAACTGACTTATACACAGAGGGCGGGCAGTCATCTTGCACAGAGTTACTAGTCAGTAGCTTCTTCAAGAATTTGAATCCAATGGCTTCGAAGAGTGCCTTCTTAGCTTGCGTTTGGCAATCCTTGCTCTTCACTAGTTTGGTTACCATAAACAGCGCCGCGAACTTCTCCGTGTCGCTTTTGGCGGCTTTTAATATTAGTATACATTTTTTTATCGGTTCCGATATATCACCCATTATTACGAAACACGACGCGATTACAAGGCGCAATAGTGAGCGCTCTACTGAGCGAGCGCTGGCTTCCCCGCTGTTGAATCGCTCCGACAACGGCTCGATCTACATCACGTTTATAATTAGCATGAGTTCTCTTCCAAAATATCTAAATCTGGACGTCGAGCTCACGTTCTCCAACTATGAAGCACTATTTTTAAACACACGCTGGAACGTGAACGCTTAACACGCGGGGTGCAACAAGCAAATCGACGACATCAACCAACGACGTAAAAACTATTGCGATAACCACGATGACAGCGCGCGCACTTCGTTCCGAACTAATCCATGACCGTGGCAATGTCACAATAATAATTAAAGAAAAATCTTACCTTATTGCAGGCTCTAGTATCCCCTTTTCTTGTTTGTATCAGTGTGTTGTCTAAATCAAAGAATATAGCTGCAACATCACTATTTTCTCCATAATACGAATTATTTGCCATTTTTGCGGACGAGTGAGTGGTGTAACGCAGGGGAAAAAAACAGCTGCTTTGTGATGACGTCACGACGATTGCTAACGTCAGAACAGTAAAATGAGTTTTCTTGTTCAATAAATAATATTTCTACTCGCTTACTCTTATGACATTCAATGTTGAAATATATGCTCCATCCCTTTCTAGGTCACTTGATAAGAAATATACTAGTTTAGCGCCATCTACTTTTCATCTCTTGAACAATGTGAGCTCGTGTAAGAGGATCGTAATCTCAATTTGAAGCGTTTTTTGTTGTAGAGACTAGATGGCATAAAATAAAAGTGGTTTCAAATAGTTGTCACGTACGCGTATACTACGTAACTCTTACTCCGACTAACTCGTAGTTGCAGCAAGAATGTAGGTTATTTATTATGTTTTCAGCTTACTCACGTAATAATTTGACGAGATACTCAACACAGTAGCAGCGCGAATGCTGCTCATGAATATGGGCCTCTAGCATGGCTTGAAACTAGTCGTCTAGTATCTCGTCAAATTATTACGTGAGTAAGCCGAAAACATAATAAATAATTTAGAACGTCTCACGAAAGTTACAAAAAAAAAAGAATGTAGGTACTAAAACAATGTCAGTGTTTGCTAAAATTAGGTAAATATAATTCGCAGAATTATTAATAATGAAGTAGAATTTTTTATCATGTTTTTCTATTTTTCTAGATTTGATGTTTTAAATTATTTTTTATTGTTTGCTTTTACTTACTTTCTGTATCCATTTAAATAATTATTATACCTCTACGTATAACACCGAATCGAACAAGGACCGGATCGAACCGAACCGAAAAAGGTAGACTAACTAGCTGCAGGTTGATTGTATATTTTTTTTCCTCTTTTTTTAGTGTGCAGTCGGGTATTTTGTTTTTTTAATAATAGATAATTTTTTTATTTTAGTTGTCAACTTCAATTCTTTTTATTTTGACACCAGCATAGAGGTATCTGAATTGAATAATTCAAATATTGAATATTATCAAATCTACTTTAGCACCCATATCCATTTTTCAGTTTCAATAATGGTTAAAAATAAAAAGCCACTCAGACAGCGACAGTACCCCACGCTCCCCTGCGAGGGAAGTGAACGATCATCGTGGGCTGATGGTAAGTTTACCACCGCCTGCCTCACGCTCAGGGCACCGCGCCACATCTCATCAACGTGACTGGTGAGGACTCACATAGTGTGAAAGTCTCGAGAAGAGCTTACTATAGAAATGATCCTATGAAGTAAGGTCTTATCGTTTCCTACGATTTCGGCGAGGGTCATTCTTTCTCGAAAAATCTTAACACCGCGATGTACAAAAGTGACGTCACGGCACAGCGCCATCTAGTGATCCGTTTTATAACGATGATCAATGATCTATACTTGTAGATCATTGTTGACGTTCGGATGGATCTTTATAACGCGCTATGTCAAAACGATCGCACGGATTTAGATGGGATTTGGTGAATAGTTAGATCGGATTCTGAAATAATAAAGGTCATACTACGAGTACTTACCTAATTATAAAATTGGTAATTAATAATCATTATTGTTAACCTTGTAGATAGAAGAAGATGTTGTAATATAGATGTCGTAATGTGCTACCAGTCTAGGAAATGTTCTTGTTTATTTCGTCAAACATGTCATATTGTCTTACTACTGTGTCTCGTATTACCACGACTGAAAGAGATAGGGAGATATCTATTTTCAGTAGGGGACATAAAATAATAATAATTTAAAATTACCATAATTCTCGCAGAAGAATTTTGAAGAGATTATCTGGAACATGGAAAAACAATACGGTATAGTAGTAATCACAAATAGAAATAATGTAGTGTATTTATTGGTCCTCAGGCGGTGGTCATTTTTATGTAGACAACAAATGAAGTCAAAAACACCTAAGTTCCACAACTTAATGAAGTACTTAATTTATTTTAATTCATTCGGTAATTATATGTTTATGTTTAACAGTAACAAGAATATTATTTTAAATACTAAATAAATGTCATCTGTCGGTCCCGTCTTTGCTTAAAGGTCGACTGTAAGACAATGCCTAAGGCACCTGTACCTACATATCTTTTGTATAAATACAATACAGATTATGTGGTTAATGAAACAGAAGATTGTATACAATTTTTATCGTTTTCGTTCTTCATACTGACATATAGTAAGTTTCGTATAAACCGCTACAACCACATATGAAAGTAATATGAGAAGACCGGGATGAGTTACGATCAAGGGACATGTCATTCCATGAACGGAGAAATTCTTTTATCAACATTGTTTCGCAGGGATAATATGCTCAGACCCAAGCCCTTGTAATTTTATAAGTGTGCAGGTATATTTATGTGTTTGTATTAAATAATGTAGATACACGTTTTGTGTTTCTTCTTTATGAATACTTATTGGATATTTTTGAGGAATTATACTCACAGTACAGCGGAGATTTTTGGTTTTCTCGGTGACTAGGTCGTACTTCGCTGTGAAAGTTGTTTTGGCTGGGTACAATGCAATCATTTTGTGCTGTCCGACGATTGACTGTCGATTTTAAATTCATTTCCAACTTATCAAGATTTGTTAAAAAATCAGTAAAACTAAATAGTCGTATCGGCTTAGAATTCCAGTGTTTTTAAAGGTTGATTTTTTTACTTATCGTCGTTTTAAGAGATCCGTTTTCATTTTGATTCAGTATAAATGTAATCCTTAGCTTTAGTCACCAAATAGTTTCTTGTAAACACTCCAGAGCGCTTTGATTTTAAGACACGCTGACGTAGGTAATCAAAATAAAGGTAGGACAGGTCCGTAACGTATACATAAACAAAATGTAGGTTCCAGGTTGTTGGTGGGCAGCATGACATGAATGTATTGACACAAGGCGAGGCGCATATCGAGCTGGAGTCCCGGTGCGCGGTGACCGGCACTCGCCTCGCTCTCATTTGTCTACACACAGACCGCACGTATTCCATAAACTATGTTCCCCTATAAACATAGCATGCATTTGTTTTACAGATATATCTTTCAACTAGAAACTATTGTTCTCTATTTGTATTGTGAAAAAATCTACCATCCTGTTTCTTTTCTTGACACCTAGCAAACTACGCGGTTTCTGAAGTAGTTTTTTAGTGGATGAAGTCAAACATTTGTCTGGTTCTGTTTACTAATATGGTACAAAAAGACTGGTTCTAAAAATGGACAGTGGTCCTTACATTTCTTGTTGTGTAGGGTAGTCCTTCAACTGTACACAAGTGCGGAACACAGAACTCCGAAAGGGGCAAGCAAATAGCGATTGTGTAAGAAAATTCATACTACGTGGAATTCGTTCAAGGGTTATTAGATTTCCTGTCACACGCAGGGCTCGCCGGCCGCGGGTCCTATTTGCCAAACATTGCCAAGAAGTCAATGCCAATTTCTTGCGTAAACATTTTGTTCGGTCATTATCGTTCCTTGTTGGATGGTTTGCACTGGTTTTAACAAATTATAGTCGAGTTTCAAACTTGGTGCCAATTTTGTTCAATTTGGAGATTGTAATTTGCTTGAAGGGTGGCTGCCAGATCTCATTGGCGTCATTTTAAGCTTATTTTCCAGACTCGTAATTCCCGCAAAAGGGGTTTGTCGTTACGTACGTAGGGGGACGGGTAAGTTTGTTTAATTTAAGTGTTTTTGCGTGTAGGCGTGTCGCCTCTTTAGTCGAACCTGCGCTAGGATATTACGATCGTATTTATGAATTGGGCGTATTTACTTAAGTGAGGACGTATTACCTGTGTTTCATCGACCAAACGCCTATCTCACTTCAACACCAAGTATACATATACTTATACTGTTAGTTTAGTTAAGACGTTTCTATATCATCTTCAAAATGATAAAGAACGTTCTCTTACACATAAGTTGAATTACTAAGTAACACGTAGTACCTACCTACCTAATTTTACCTGAAAAAAATTTTTGGTCGTAGGCATGTTTGAGTCCGCCATTGTGCTGTTATCAGCATTCAAGATGCTTAACTGAATAGTGCGCCCCCTCGCAGCAATTAACTAGCTATGCTCATTAGCAGCCCGTTTTCATTCGGCGGCCGTAATCCGCTCGGGCCAACTTTCTTTGGAACACCTCGATTTACTATGTCACTGGGAGGGGGCGGCGGTACCTACCCGCAATGTGCTGATGCCGCTGGAACGCAGCTGCTGTGATGTGATTCTTAGCATTAACTGCTATACGACCTCTTTTGGTGAAGCTAGCTTTTTTCTTTTTCATTTCTGGTCATTAGGACATGTTTAAGCCAGTAACTTTTGCAACTCCCATGCTTATATCAGGAGTCGGGCTTGTCCACATGATAAATAGCTGCCTACTTTACATAAACGTGTACTAGAACTCTCAAACACCATTTGCCCAATTGGCAAGCAGCAGCGCAATTCTGAAGCAAGTGGTTCGGCTCTAACCAAACATGGCTCGAATCTGCATTTAGCCGTCGCGTCGCATCAGTCTGTTATTGACAGCAAGCAGGTTCGTATACCCGGTGTACCCGGGTAACCAGTGATTTATACCGGGTAAACATCGCACACGTTATCACCGCCTTGCACCTGCCTTATCCGGCCTGCGAGGTGCAACCTACCGTTTCTAGTAAGCCGATTTGCGATTTTGATGCATGCGAAATGACGTTTTGGAAGGTAACTTTAAATTTCTTAGGAATCTGTGGACTCTGTGGATGCAGCCTTGCGATTTGAATCTAAAATGAAAATTTCCTAACTAAGGTACTTGTAGTAACATTATGATAGCTCTCGAACGTAACGGTCTAAGAATAGCAAGTGGCTTAGCATATCTATTGATTTTTTTATGTGAACAGATTATTAAACATAAACAGTTCAAATAGACTAGGAAAATTTATAGCAGAGGTACAGCATATCCAAGGAAAATTTCGCGCACTACATACATAGTACCCCTGCCCCAAATTTTCCTAGTCTATGCAGCATTTTAACAACAAACTATAAACACAGCATTTAACGGCAGACCGAGTTTTGTTTCGAAACAGTTTCAACGCTCTCCGTCCATGTAATAACTTATTACACACATATTACTTATAGGGGACTATTTGTGGGACGATTTGTCGACGCGGCGTGACGTCGGCTGACGTTGCGAGTGTTCGTGGCATTTCATTAACTAACGGATTGTTGCCACAAGCCGCCGATGTGCGGCCCTGTCCAATTTGTTCCCGAAGCACTATTGGCCAGCCGACCCGAATGCCTGATGATAATCATAAACGGCCCCTGCCAAATTGGTAATACGCGTTAGTGAATATCTAAGCAAGGGATAGCACCTAATGGCAATTTAGTTTAAGTTATTATACTGATAATAGTTGTGCTCTGAAGCGGAATTTATTGTTATTTATCTGTGTTTTAGTTTAGGTAGTGTTAGGTCACTTTTTTGTTGGTTAAGATATGGTTAATGTACAAAATTAATATCAATAATTCCGTATATGGATTATTTTTTTGTTGAATTGAAACCAGAACTGTGTAACAAATAGAAACGCAACTGCAAATTTTAGATAGGCTTTTCACGAGCGATTAAAAAATCGAGCCTCTGACAGCAATGGGCACCGAATCCGCCATCATTGAATTAACGTGACGTCACAAATAGAAGGATGTAGTGTAAAAGTGCGGTGCGAATAATGGCCAAAAATACTGGCACATTTGGACATTTCCAGCACAGCCGGCTGGTCATGCATTCTTAATGCTGTACGAGCGAATTCATAAGTATTTCGAGTAGTATGTCATGTTCCCACTATTTTGTCTCGTGTTAGGATGTGTTTTTCGTATCGATTTTATGGCAGGTGTTGTAGATATCTATGGTTTCATTCGATGACTAATAACTGAGGCGAAATTTATTGTCATATTTTAATAAGCATACGTATAAAAGATTTCTATTACCTCAACCATTTGATTAGTCAGATAGATTTTTGTCTTTTTCTACCAAAGAAACGTATATTTTTCAATGTCAAAATGTAATATTACCGATTTCAAATTGTTATTGACATTAATTAGTATGGAGGCTTTATTGAATGTTACTGTCTATGCTGCACTGTTTTATTACCTTATAACACGAAAGCGTTCAATGTTTATTAAATGCACTTACAAACTTATAAATTGAAATTATATGTCAGTTTCCTTACGATGTTTTCCTTCACCGTCATCATCATCATCATCATCAGCCTATAAGTGTTCACTGCTGAGCAAAGGCGTCTTCTCATACGGAGAAGGTTAGAGCATTAATTACCACGCGTGCTCAATGCGGGTTGCCGATTTCAAACTTATAATTAGAAATTATAAGTCCAGGTTTCCTCACGATGTTTACCTTCACCGTATGTCAGTGGTGTCTAAATAATCATAGAAAGTACATATAACTCGGAAAAAGTCACATCGGTAAGTGCCTGGTTTCGAATCCTCATGCATGAGAAGCGGGCTACTTAACCTCCGGGCCACCACGGCATTTAACAGATAATTGCAGATGTTTATTCGTTTTTGTTTAAAAACTATTCCACAATCATTTTATTTAAAGTGGCAAACGTTTCTTCGGTAAATCAATACGATCAGCGGCGGCTCCAGGCATTCATAATTCAAAACACAAGACGTACAGGTTTACTTAATAAAGTTCACGGTACAATGAGTTCGCTTATGAGCTTATAGCTAAGATCTCTTAATCACCAAACTAGATAATTACTTTGGAATCTCGAGATACTTGGATATGTCTAAAATGAAATTAAGTATATTTGCTAAATACGTTTAAGCCCCAAGGTGATTTTTGCAACTAACTTCAGTAATTAATATGTCCATTACTTTAGTAGTCGGCTGATTAGTCATAGCTAAGTACCCAGATAAATAGAAATATGATAAAGCCGAGGAATTTGTTTGTATATGAATTTACTACTAGCTACTCTCGCGCGGTTTCACCCGCTGCTCGGCTCCATTTAATCGTAGCGTGATGTTTATTGCTTATAGATGTGTGCCTATAGCACTCAGGAATATTATAGCTATCTATCAGTGAAAGAATTTTGCAAACCCGACCAGCGGTTTCAAGGATTAACCCCTACATATTAACTTACAAATTTAATCTTTTTTATAATATTAGTATAGATATCACTTTTATGCCTGTAGTATTTTGCTTACTCAGCCGAGGTTTCTTTTTGTGAGGGGAAAATCAACGAAGGACTTTTCCCGCCCAGGGTGGAGCGGGACGGAGTGTTAGACTCATATTGGCTTAAAACCTTCTCGTTCCTGCTCTTGTTCTAGGCCAAGGCCGCGGTGCCACATTGCGCTTGTCCCGCAACAGAACATCAGCCCTATAGGGGCCCGTCTGTGGTGATCTATTGGCTCTTTGAGGCGCGCGCGGAGCCGAGCCTAGGTTGCGGGTTCATTTCAAAATCATTTCCTTCAACGTTTACGTCGACTCTATGGTATCCAAATACTCTTAGAAAACACCTACATACATAATTATATACCTCGGAAATAGTCACATTAGAACTTGCCTAGTTTCGAAATCCTTATGCACGAGATGCAAAAGTGAAAATCCAGCTTTAGTACACTTAACTTTTATATAAGTTTCTGGATGGAGGTTTCACATTTCACTCCATGACTAAATCCAGGCGGATCAATGTCCCGAACAACTGACAAGGTAGGCAAGGTAGGTACTTATTTGCAGGAATCCCTTGCGGATGACACAATATTAATTAATGAGCGATTCGGGAGTAAATGATGCCGGCTGACATAACATCTGTCCATCATTATACGTATATAATACGCCTGATGATAACCATAGACCGCAACACACGGCCATTTAATGTTTTTGAATTACTGAATTGAATTTATTTTGTAATAGGTATGAATAAATTATCAGATTGATAAATAGCTATGTTATTTTGCATCGATCAAATGGGTCGCTGCTGATCAAGCGGCGGGATTGGAGGAGGGGAAGAATATTGGTTTTACAAAAAGTTTTTACTGTTTAATAGAAAGAATAGGAATGTGAATTGGTCTTTATATGGCAATAGGAACATATTTGCGTAGCCCACATCTTAAAGCCGGTGCAATTTAATGGGTCGTGTACTCGTGTATATAACTTTCACACAATTTTTTTTTTTTAATGTTATAGGTCGGCAATCGAGCAGACGGATTACCTGATGGTAAGCAATCGCGGCGCTTATGGACACCCGCAACGGAGTAGTTACGAGTGCGTTGCCGACCTTTTAGGGATGAGGGATTTGGAGATTTAGGAACTGGGGACGGATTAGGGAAGGGGAAGGATTGGGCCTCCGGTAACCTCACTCACACGGCGAAACACAACACTGGTTGTTTCAAGCCGGTTTTCTGTGAGGCAGTGGTATCACTCCGGTCGAGCCGACCCATTCGTGCCGAAGCATGGCTCTCCCACACTTAAATTGTTAACCAAACGCAGTTACCATAACTAACGTATAAGAAAAGCTTATAAAAAAACTATGGCAAGGGCGCCATAGAATTACGTGAATCGATATAGTTTGTATCAATGACCTCTAACATGCAACCACGTGTTTTATACTTTTACAAAAACAATATCAATGCGTAAAATGCCGTAATAGTTATCGCGATTTTTATAGTCAACATAATGGAGTGAAATCGGACCTTGAATATGCTAAGTTGTATATAAGACAGGAGATCAACTCGAAATGTATCAATCCAGTTCTGGAAGTTGAATTGTGATCTTATTTCAGTTTTTTAAACTCAATACTCTAAGAAATATGTTCTTCAAGGTATACTTAAATATTTATACGAGTTGTTTATTTTTTCTTAATGACTTTTAATTTTTCCTTAGATAAATTGATCTGAAATTTCTTTCTCACAAGTTCTAGTGATATTTGGATTCAAGGGTTTCTATCTTCAATCAAATTCATAGATGGCTAACAGTTTCCAATTTCTGCGAAAGTGCAATAAGCGTGATGCACCAGTGATTTTTGTGTCCATAGAATATTTTAACTTGTTTTTTTTCTACGTTCGTCACATACTTATGAATGTGTAATTATAAATATTAGAGCAACAATTTACATCATACTGAAAACACTAACGGGATGTGATATATTACGCATATCTTTAATATTATAATATTTCCCCTACCCTAATCCGTTCCCTATCCCAAAATCTCCAAATCCCTAATCCCTAAAGGTCGACAACGCACACGTAACTCCTCATTCGTTGTCCATGGGCGACGCTGATTGCTTACCACCAAGTAATCCGTTTGCATGTTTGCCGACCTACCACATTAAAAAAAAATTCATTAGAAAATACCTGCCCTGAGTCCTGTATTGACTGTCCTGCGTCCTGTATTGTACTGTACTGACTATTTTGTGTTTTAATAGTAAAATATGTCTTCTCAGGTGGTCTGCGTGTTATCCGTGGCTGTGGCCGTTGTATCCGGGTATGCCTACTCTTCCCAGTACATTCACCGTCACGATGGCCACCATGAGCCCGTGTACCATGGATACGGTGGCTACGGATATGGACATGACCATCATGATTACTACGTAAGTGTGTCACGATATAAATATATTTTTTTTATATCCAATGATTTGACTGCACGGTTGGCACGGTGGCTGGCTGCCGCGTAACGCAAATGTTCCACAAATTGTTGTTTTATATATATAATATATAATAATAAATAATATATTATAAGTGATAATCGAAAGTGACTTTTCTCACCAGACTTACCCAAAGTATGAGTTCGGGTATGAGGTAGAGGACGCCCACACTGGAGACTTCAAGTCGCAGCATGAGTACCGCGATGGTGATGTGGTGAAGGGACATTACTCCTTGCACCAACCTGATGGTTCCGTCAGACATGTTGACTATCATGGCGATGACCACAGCGGGTGAGGCACTTTTCTTTTATGATCTAAGAAGCAAACGAGCAGACAGATTACCTGATGGTAAGCAAATGGCGTCGCCCATGGACACCTGTAACACCAGAGGAGACACAGGCGCGTTGCCGGGATTAACCCGTGGTATGCCGGAGCGCATATATACGCGAGACACAATATGTTTTCTATTGTGTCTCATATACGCACGTTTCTTGAAGGCTTGAGGGTGGTACCGCTGTTGACAGATCATTCCAAAGTTCTGCATTACTATGTTAATCGTAGGATTAAGACGATATAATATGATGACACAGTTGTTATTCTCGCAGACCTCATGTCTGGCCTTCTAAGTATTATTATGTAACAGATATCGAACCCAACCAAGCTCTTGCTCGACTGGTGCTCGATCAACGAGGTACCTACATGACAAAAGAGGTGATGAAAATCCAGTGTTTTTGCCCACTTGGTGATTTTTTTTAACAGTCTAAGGATTCCTCAGCATTTTTTGACTCTAGAGTTATTTTTAATGTCTGGGGCAGTGAAAAGAACGGCGTGGTTTTTAGTCAGTAAGAGTGTGCCACTCCCTCACTCGATGAGAGAAGAGTCGTTTGATGACTTGCATCCCACAAAGGAAATGCTTTTTTATACTAAAATTATATTGTTGTTTCAGTTTCCACGCGGATGTGAAACACAGCACCCACCACATTGTACCTCATCATTACCACTACTGAAGTTTGTCCAGAATGATGAACGACTTTCAAGGAAATCTGACGGCATAGTACAGGCTCAAGATTTTGTTGATAAATTCTAATTTTATTACCAACTAAAAAAAATCTCGAAAATACGAAATGAATTTCAAGACTTGTACTAGACCCTCAATGTTCCTTTATATATTTGCCTAAACAACGTTTCTGTATTCTTTTCCTTATATTTAAGGAGATGGATTATACAAATGTACAAATCAAAATATACATATTTTCATAATAATAACGTCGTTTTTGTTTGATTCCATATTCAAATTTTTTTATAAACCGTTATTTGATTTGCCTATCTTTCCACCTATGGGTGTTGATAAGCGACGAATGTTGAGCACATTTTATGGCACATCAAAAATATTATTAAGAGAAGGTAAATTTCTCATTAGTTTTTCAAATAAGTACAGTACTTTATGAACATTATTTAACTCAAACAAATAAATTATAATTATGACCAAAGATTTTTGAAGTTATTAAAAGAAGAGGGACGCCACTAATTACGGCAATTTCAATACTTTTATCCAAATGTCAAAAACGATACTTTTCTACGAGATTTGTATAAACCTCCAAACTATGTAGTCATTGTATTTTTTAATCAAATAGCTTACTTATTTCTTAAAAATTATCAAATAAAATTTATTTTTGCCTCGGAAACTACTCAATTACACAACTCAAAATACAAATATTATATTCAACAATAATAAAAATAAACCTTTTTAAATGTTACCTATTTTAAGGCAAACGAAGGTAATACGGAAAATCTGGCTGGGACTCAGCCAATAGTGTAAAATGTTAGGTTAATAGAAAATTTTTATGAATTAGCACCACTTCCGTCCTTTCATCATCATCATCATCATCAGCCCTTTTCAGTCCACTGCTGGACATAGGCCTCTCCTATTGCACGCCACTGGGATCGATCTTCGGCCACTCGCATCCAGCTCCTGCCAGCCACTTCCGTCCTTTGATGACAAGAAACTAGAGAAAAATGAACGAAGCAAGGGAAAATGTGACCTATTGCCTATTCTTTTGTTGGTGTAAATATTTTATTTTGCCATGCAAAATGTGACTTAGTTAGTTCCAAGCCGAGTCACCCCTTTTGAAACCAAGATACGCTAATCGTAAGCGGTTTTCAGATAAATAATTCACTTTGAAGATATAGAAATGCATAAATACATACCTGAGTAGGTCCCATATCAATCATTCTTCAATTTCTAATTAGCAAAAATTATAAACATTTTGGTAAACAACGTAGTGAAATAAAAAATTCGCATGGAATCAATAGGTTGTTGATGTTCACGTGATGTACCCATCGAACCAAGAAAGGCAATCGTCATCAGAAAAGTTTGTGACTCCATAAGAATGAAGAAGTCGTTACTTCTATTACCTACTAGCCCTTACCCGCGGCGTCGCTCCCGTCATTTGAGTACCTACCCTACTCTACCTACCCTACCCTACCTACCCTACTCTATCCTATCCTATGTCCTTCTCCTGGCTCTAAACTACCTCCTTGCCAATTTTCAGCTGAATCCGTTCAGCCGTTCTTGAGTTATAAGTGGAGTAACTAACACGACTTTCTTTTATATAATTATATATATTAGTATATGTATATGTATAGATTATTTCCGTCTGAAACTTTATTCTGTGTGCAGGTAAGAAAATAAAGATTAACGCGATACTGAGACTGCAACCATTGTTACATTAAATTATAAAGATTCATTCACATTATATTATATTTCATAATAGTCGTTGTTGCTCGGAGGTGAACGCGCCCACGTCTCATGCATGAGGGTGATGGACTTTTTTTTAGAGTTATATGCATTTTCATCGTAAGGAAACCTCGACTTTGATTATTATACACTACTACGATACACTACTGAGTGAAACGACAGACATAGTGCACTAGTATAATTTTTGCCTTTTAAGCTTAAGTCATGTGGTGTCTCTTGCATTAAATTTAACTAGGGAAAAGGAAACTTTTTAGTTTTTTTCTTCTCCTCTAATACCTAATATCTTCTGACTTATTTCGTAGCAGGATCGAAGACAATCATTCATGTCTCCGGGACGCGCCGGACTTCAATGTTTCGGCGTTTTCATGGTTGTATCTACTGTAGATCTTAGCTTACAGGAGTTGCAGCGGTTTTTAGGGGTTTTGGGAGGCTTGTCTTAACGAAAAGCAACGCACCCCGACATTTGAAAAAACCCTAGTGTGAGGAAATTTTAAAAAATATAAGGTACTGTCTTCTTTATTCAATCAAACTCTACCATACCAAATAACTATGCAAACTGGACTTCAAATATATTTTCATTTCAATACTTCTTAGATATACATATAAACGTACTCTATACATTTTTATTTCAGTTAAACGAAATACTTACATTGTTCTATCATTCTATTTTCTACATTAAAGAATCACCTATGTAGATGATGTACCAAGAAGGTATTATAAATTAATATATATTTATATGTGTTTGTATAAAATGGCGTAGTATACACATAGCTTAGCCAACGCTAACGTAATCCTAAGCTTGTTTGTGCAAATTGAAATTAATATTAATAATATGGATATACACGTGTGTCTTCGATCACTGCTTAAATTGAATGTGTTTACTGTTTTAACATAAATATGATTCATATTCGTGTGAATATTCGATTTTGATTAAAACGATATGAATAACTACGTCGAAAACGTTTGAGTTTATAAAATATGTACTCGTTAACTATATAACTGTCAATCATTTTGCAATGAATTAAAATTGAGCATATTCAATGCTCAATTTCACGTACTAATTTATGCAAGATGGTTTTTGTTATTTTTTTTTCGTTTTATGCATAAACCTTTGAATATACGATGACAAATTTAAAATATTTAATTTAGGAATCAAAATAGAATTCTTTTTTGAAATTCGAACTCGTGGTGGTTGTGGCAGACCTCAACTGTCGACCTTGTTTTGTTCTAGTTTCATTTGTTCGATAACCACTCTACTGTGTAGTACAATGAAATATAATTAACTCAATTATCGTGAAATAGTTATGGACATAGCTGGTGAAAACGGGAGTACTCTTAAACGTTTGCGATCTATTTTGTTTTGAATAGTTGTGTGGTTTGTATGGAAAAATCATTTAATGGCTTCCCTCGCCCAGGATAAGGCGAGACAGAATGTCAGACTTTTACTGACTAAAAACTCCCCGCCTATTGCGCTTACCCCGCCACCCCGGCCTGGTGTAGTGTCCGGATAACTTATACCTACACAGAGCCTTGCTTTGCTTATCTAAACAGTTTTTCTTATCTCTTCTCCACTACCTAAGCTAATAGAACAACTTCAAAAGAACAAAAAGAACAGCATTCAATAAAATTAAAGGCCGTAAAAACATTTAGTATCCTGAAATAATATGAATATACATACATGATGTGGAAGGTAATGAATAACATGCAAATGGGGTCTCTAATGAAAACCGCTTCGTGGCTTTCCGACTCTTAGGACGGAGTAATCATGAACTGAAAGTGTTTCGTGTTAATTTGTTAAAAAGATAACATATAGGTAGTCCTCAAGTGTAGGCTACAACTTGAAATGTCAAAATCAAACTACGTTGTATGCAGTTGCTGTTGCAAGCGCAAAAATGTATGTACAGCAGCTCGGAGCAGAAGGAGTTTGGTGGTTTTTTGTCAGTAAACGGTATGACACTACCTGTCACCTCACTCAGGGCGAAAGAAGTCATTTAATGTTTAAAGAAAGGGCACCGCAAAATAAATCCTAATATCAATCCGCTTTTCCTATAAATGATGAGTCCTGGATTAGACTCAGAAGAGAGACTTCGGATTGTCTCGAAAGCGATCCACGTTTCGGAATACGAATACACTTTAATTTTAAAACTGTAAGGAATATTCCGTATATTCATAAGATTATACGACAGCGGCAACTTGCTCCATTGCTCGCCAAGCCACTTTGAATTCGCAGATAGTGTAACATTCAGCATCCAATTTTAAAGGCGTTCACACAAAGTAAACACTCAAACGGTAAATCGTTTAACATATCCCCGAGTCTTCTCCAAAGAGCGGCATAATTTTTCGCTCCTGTATATAAATTCATTACAATTTTCATAAAGTTTTATAAAAACGCTGTTCAGTATATTTATATGCCTACGTTATGTCGTAAACTTTTTACTATCTGGGGACCAAGTTAGCTTTCATTACGACTGCCGTGTTAGGCAAGTAGCATCTATATTTCATACCTACAAGTACGTAAATAGGTAACGTTTCACCAAGTTTTTAACTTCCTTATCTAAGAAAAAAATGTGCGCAGAATTTTTTCTTAAATTTTATAGATAAAAGAAGTGGCATACCTACTGTATTGTTCGCGGGCGTCACTGGGGAATTGACAAAAAGCTAACTATGTCATCTTTTAGCGTCGAATTAGAGGCATAAGTTGGCAGTCTGTTTGTGAATGCGGTCGCTCTGGCTGAAAATGGCGGAGCACCACAGTAGCGGCTCGTAAACAAAAGGCTCTCGTCGCACTTTTATAATTTACTTAGGTACCTACTTCCTCTTTCCCTTTTGAATTTTGTTTTTAACATTTCCCTTTTTTGAAGAGCCGTTATCTCGGACGCGCCGCTGCTGCCTTCATTTTGCGTTCCATTCAAATCTGTTTTGATGTGGGCCTTGGCTTCATATTTTCGACAGACGCAAATTCAACACGTTAAAGATTTTAAGGAGTTATCTTTTTCAAGGAGGTCTACGCAGTTTCAAGAGCCGTTACATTGTCAGCATTGTTTAAGTGTTGGATGACGACGTTAATATAAAAATTTGAAAATATAACTCGGAATATATATAGGTGGATAGAATGTATGTCTAACAATAGGAGAAAAATTTGGAATAGTGCAGAGCCTGATGCCCCTGATGGTAAAGTGTAAACAATCGGTGCTGTCCATAAACTGGAAATTTCTGGCTACCAGCCTGTTAGAAGTTTTAGTATTAGAGATTGAGGATTGAAGATCGGGGTTTTGGAAGGGATTTCGGGTTTCGGAATGGGGCAGAATTG